AAAAAAAAAAAAAAAAAAAAAAAAAAAAAAAAAAAAAAAAAAAAAACAAAATAAATTCCATATTATTAAGGAAAAAAAAAAAAAAAATTCGACCTGTTTTCGAGTAGATCAAAGTGGGTTGGCTATACAGAAACTTTTGCCATAGAAAAATCCTACAAAACTTCTTATTACCTGTAATCTAAAACCTCAGCAACCAAAATTTTATGCCGTTTATTTCTGATAATCAGCCTCTGATAATGCAGAGAAATGGAAGGAGGAGGGAAAAGGCTAAAAGAATTGCACCTTGCCTGATATGATAATGGGAGGGTTCAGTTCCACCAGAGTTGCTTTCCCCTCTGATACTAACTGTGGTAATGTGTTGGCCTCTTTTGCTGCAATCCCTTCTCTAGTCCATAATGTTACATGCGGCCACTCATTTTTCGAAATCACTCTTTCGTCCTCAATGCTGCCAACCCGAGCTTCGAAGGCAGCCATTTTATCTGAGAAAAGTAGGGCTGTCAGCTCAACTGGAACTTCTTTGTTCTCGAAGATGCCGTAGTCAGCTACAGCTTTAATGCCATGGCTTCTTTTGTGTGCGAGTGTGACATGAGCGCTTTTAAGTGTGTAATCCTTGTAGCCTTCTTTAATGAATGCTTCAACCTGAGGATTTTTGTTGCCCAACTGCACAATAATGTTGGAAAACGTAAGGATACACATAGTAGGACTTGGCTTGTGCATATGATGAAATTACAGATAAATAATGGATAAAGGATAACGAGGAAATATATCGAAGCAGATCACAAATAAAACCGAAAGGGAAGCTAATAACGATCTCGATATTTGAAGATCATGAACAAATTTGTCAGCAGTAAAATGTATAACAACTTAGCTCGTGGATGTATACTTTTCTATGAGGACTACTATTTTTCCTCCCAAGTTATCTTATCCACTATGTTTCAGTCATAGACTATGGAACTTGCAAGATGTTTCAAATATCGTTTAACGGTCTGTTAGAAGACGGGAGCACAGAAAAGGAAGGACTATAACCTATCAGCTTAAGTCTTGTTGGGTCTTGAACCAATTTCACTTAAAACCATGTTGAAAAAATATCGATTGGCTACCGGCTGTGGGAGCCAAAGTGGTTCGTATACATGTTCACTTACCGTGTCGAGAGCATCTTGGATGTCCTGAACAGGAAGACTGACAGCAGCATACACTATGGTCGCAGACTTCCTCCTCTCTGTAATAGGGCTTTTATAGTCACCCTTTGAAATCTTCTTTAATTGCTCCAACACATTTTGAACAGCAAACTCAAATGGAACCTGGATAGTAAACATTGATTATTTTATTAGCGTTTTCGTCGAAAGACGGTTAATATAGTTTGATACAAACTAAATGGAAGCATGGATAAATCTGATCTTTTAAAGAGAAGTAAAATGCACCTGAATAGCATTGAGATACTCAGCGTTACCAAACAAAGTTTCTCGCAATTGCTTCTCCCATTTCGCCCATTCTTTCGCGTAAGAACCTTTAGTAGAGTCCGCCCTGCAAAAAAGTTCCAGATTGACATAAGAGGTAGCTGACAATAAAGCACATTGCAGATCATCTATTAACATTCCTATGCTAGAAACTTCAAGTCAACAAAGTTCAACAATGAAAGAATCAACTATAAATACTTGAACAAGCCAGCCACCAACCTTCCATGTCTACTAGTATGGAGCTTATACAGACTTAATCCTTCCTCTAAGATAGTCTTCAAATTGTCAGGTAAAGGACTCCTGCAGTCCAAGAACAGCAAAATATTAGACGTACAAACTCAAAAAACGATCTCAATATTTTGCGAGGAAAAAAACAAAAAAAACCAGTTAATTTTTCAAATAATAAATTTCGCTCTCGTATGACATTTCTAGGAAACGGGTTGGTTTTTTATGGTATAGATTTGGATCCCCTTGAATTTTAATTTGATTAAAAATAATATTTGGAAACAAGAATTGTAGCGCATGGGGAGGGGGAAATAATGAAAAATAAGACCAGTGCTGAGGATCAGTTATTATACCTATCAGATTTCAGCAATGGAATCTTAACCAGAGACCCAAAACGATCGATAAGCTCACCTTCGAACTCTCTACGACTCTGAAAGCATTAGAGAAAAAATGATCAAGATACTAAAAGTGAAACCGAGGATGAAATGGAGGAGCAATGAGAACTGCTCACACCTTGCCCTCATAAAGGTGATAAAACATTAGTAGGACATAGCCTGCATTAGGGGACGCCTTGTCGAGATTTCCCTTCAGAATCACAGATCATTAGTAGAATCATTAGAAAGAGAGTAACCCAATCAATGATGATAAATGAGATACTTTTACAGTTTGAAGTATCAACATAGAGTGCATACTGGATGGTTAACTCTTTGCAGCACACGGAACATGAACACAGCCAGTGCGTCAAGGGAGAAAGGGTTAGAATCAGTTCCTGCACATTCAGCGACAGTAAATGAGAATTCTTCTGTGAAATGTGGAGGGCAAGTAACCAAAATAACAGTTTCCAGTAAAGGCATATATGATGTCAATAGGCACAATCCCCTTTTCAACACAACATTTGCAACAGAATCAACATAAACTCCTCATTGCCATGAAAAATCATTATTGGAAGAGACAATTATATTCACATCAGTCATGCTCTCCATAATTTCCTTCTATTACCTTAGCATAATTGGGTATAGCAGCCTCAGATTTAAGAAAAGCCAACCTTTAAGGTATCACTAGTTTTCTCATTAGTTTCTCTCTCCAAGGTCTACTTCCCCATGTTTTATACTCCACAACAAAGCATTTTCAAACAGCCTTTCTGATCTCGTTCCGTCATACCACATCATATTTTTATTTTTGTAGTTTAGACGTCTACCGAATTTAGTAGGAAGTCCTCAAAAAGCATGCAGAACGGTCCAAGATGCTGGAAACATATTAAACCAGAACCAGCAACGCCAAATCATTTCTCAGTTCTCCTCACAAGTTCAGATTCAATTGTCTGAATTGCATGCAGGATTAAAAGCAACTTTTTTCAAAAGGCATCCCCATATTTTTTTTTTGAGGAGGAAACTTTTGATTTCATTGGTGAGTGAAAAAAGGCATCACAATATTAGTATAGTCCATGAAATTTCTGTTGATAAAGCAAGTTTCGTGCAATTAAAGAAATAACTTCTCTAGACATATCACGAGACAAGGAACTGAACGTTATAAGCATCCAATGATTGTAACCTTCAGAATCAGGTATAACTGGAACTGCAGAGGCTCTTGTGCTATGGCACATATCTTCAATCTGCACAAAAGCAGTTTCTTATAAGGAGTTTAATAAAACGTACACACAGTTCAAAAACAGAACATCCTCAAAAGCTAACACGGCCTTTTGGCCTCTCCCATCACAAAATAGATGGGTCTCTTTTTGTAAATAGGCTTAATAGAAAATAGTCATCTATTTTATAAGAAATACAAAATATAGCAGAAAGTAAGACATTCGTTCGATCATGATTTTTCGGGATTGACATATCCTGTGTTTAAACAATCAATACTTTAAGAAACAAGAGTAACAAATATATTTGAAATGTCAAAATGAAAAAAAAGTTCTAACGAAGTTGAAACATATGCTAATATCAATCAATTGGATAGCTTTTTTTTCAACTCCTTTAACCAAAAGTGATATTTAGTTATAATAAAAGTGGCCTATCTATGAAATTTCTGAACTAGATTCAATTTTCCTATTCCAAGGTGCAGATTGATTGGAAGGACTAAGGTCCGTCAGGTTGAAGATATAACAAAAATGGCCTTATCAAGTTCATCCAGAAGCTGGAAATACGAAATGGGTATAGCATCAATAGTCATATTGTATAATATTTGAGCTAGCATCAAATTGACTATAAATAATTTTGAAATGCAATATGCTGATACAGTGGTCCATGGACATACACCAAAGAGGCTCTATGAACAAATTGGACCCGTCCAAGATATAATATCAAATACCAAATTTGATTTCACCTTTAATTTCTATCTTCGGAATGAAACAATGCTTACATAAAACCGAAAAGCAAATTCAAGGGACAGAAGGATTAAGACGACAAGAACAGAACCAAAGAATATCCTCCGACGTCAAAATCAAATGCTATCATCACAAGTTCCAATGATACATCTAAAAGGCATATTAGTGAGATAGTCAAACCGTAGGCCACAAAGAAGAAGGAACCTAAGTATTACAAGCCGCAACTAGAAGACTCTAAGGACTCTTTTTACTTTCTGGAATTTTCTTTTAATAATCTGTAGTCCCATTTCCAAATAAAAAGTTGATAATAGAGATAGAGACAAAATGCTAAAATAAATTATTTGATGAAGAAGCTAGCAACATTCACTTTATTTTATATTCCTCCCGCTTTGTTCACTGGATCGATGTTTACTATTTAGAGTAAAGAACGAGAACATACTTGTCTCCACACTTCTTCATTTGGTGCGTTTTTGTCTGCAAGCATTATGGAGTATGGTTTTCTCCGACGCTCATCAGCAACCTTCTGCCAATATCTTCCTGTATATGTTTAATATATAAGAAACAAGTTGATTGCTCAAAATAATATGCCTAACACTCTTAACCAAGAATTTTGGGAATTAAAACAGTGCAATCTCAAGACACAGTTGCATTCTTCCGAATCCAAAAGCCTATATTTCTCACTAGCTCCGAGAAGGAAAAGAAGGCTTAGAATGGCCAAAGCAATTAGGAAGTTAGAATGAACTACAAATTAGCCTCTTGAGGAGGCCAAAAAACCTAACCCTGGAACCTGTGGCCTATACATTTCTCTCCCGATAAGAGAAAACCGCAAACCTCCAAAGTCTAAACAAGCTATCGTATCAGAATTTATTTTTTTACTGTTTCCAGGTAACAAAAAATCAAGATGTAAAGATATATCAAACTCATGAAAGATAAAATAGAAAACCTACTGAAAAAATCTATCCATCTCTTCTAACTCTTCATTTACGCCCAGATAACCATTTTTGTTCTTGAAAATATTGCTTGTTGCCACACAACTTTTGGTCAGTTTTGCACCTTTAAAAACACATTTGAATTCTAAACAAAACTTCAAAAACAGAATCGAGTTTTTAAAAACTACTTTGTTTGGTTTTAAAAAAATTGGCTTGGAACCCTAACCAAGAGGCAAACAAAGAGGCAACATCTGAAATCTCTAGCTTAAAATCATTGAAGAGTCGAGAAATTCATCTATTACCTTTAATCAGGTCACCCATTAGAGTATTGACTGGTCGGTCATCTCCAAGTCCTCCCGGGGCATTAAGTATCTCTCTGCAAAGAGCAGACTTTGCACAGCCTGGGATTCCTATAAATTGAAGTTCAAAGCAACGTATAAAAGTGAATTATAAAAAATCTATTAACCAGAGAATTTGGTTAAACCACAAAAAATGCTACATAATACATTAGAGAAGATCTATGTATTTCATGAACTGTACCAAGCTAAAATTAATTGAAAGCGACAAAAATATAATGCATTTGAGGGCCACTCGAGATAAAAAATTACAGCATCTTGTAAGAGTCAAAATGCAAGAGCAATAGCTGCTAAAGAATTTCCACATTAAAACAATAAATACATTTGTAAACCTCAATGTGATAGTGTCAACTGAAAATATGTAGCTTTATAATTGAAGGATGTGGGAAAATGACAACCAACAATAAACGTGTTCTTTTAGCTCAAACTGCATTCAACCTATACTTTAACGTCTTGACTTGAATAAATTAAATATAAAGGGTAGAATGGTTCTCTTAGTTCTTTTACCACAAATTAAAAGTACTTGAAAGCATACCCATACTATTGTTACAAGCTTCAGAAAAGGACAAACACAAATTCAAATGCAAATGGGCATGGGCATGGCTACAAGAAGAACTACGTTCAGGTAGCCTTATCAAAAGAGCAATTAAAGAAATCCAAAATATGACAAAAATACATGGCCATACACACACACACACACACACACACACACATGCATATATACACATATATATAAAGGAAGTATGAAGTTCCTCCACCAAGATAATCCATAATCCTAACCTAGATAATGGAATTTGGACATGAAAAAACTTGACCACAAAAATCTTTAGAACATTTGGTAATAAACAAGGCCTGGCCAATTAGCGAATACAAGTACCTGGAAAAAACACAATTAAGCCCTCTGCTTTTGGCACAACATCCTTCCTAGAGAGCATAGGACTTGATGGTGCTGCGTCCTCTTTCTGAAGATCACCCTCTTCGTCCATTCCTTCCTCGACAACAGCCAAGAAGTCTTCTGCTCTAACCAGATTTCCAGCAGATCCGATAAGAGCCTGATTCTGAGGACTGCGCTTAGCATACTGTTCAAGAAAAGGTTCAGCTTCACTTAGATAGATAGACGATGACAGTTGTTTATTCCCGTACTTCCTCCTCAAGTATACAGCCCTATCATGTTAAAAGTATATCATCAACTTCATTCATTTTTCCTGCAAAGTACCTACAATTCTAGTGGAACAAGAAAACAGCTCAACAATCAATAATTATATACTTACCATTCGTCAAGCATCTTGCTGAGCTCCCTTTGTTTTCCAAATGATGTACCCCACAACTTCATTTGCCTACATTTTTAAAATAAAGATAGATATGCTTCACTTTAGTAGCAGGATGAATACAAATAATATAGATTTTCTAAAACAAAAATATAGGCAAAAATCTCAGTGATGAATAGAATACAGAAGAGAAAAACAAAACACCCTCATTGTAATACTAATGTAATAATGAGTGTTTAGACAAAATACAATAATACACTCCGAGAAATTCTAAGCCCCTTTCAACATTTTTATAGTCGTATTAATTTCAATTTAAATTTCTCAAATATAAGCACAAAAAATTGAAGGAAGAATTGGGTAAAGTTCTACAAGAGGATTGTCACTGATTAGTGCATGAACGAAAATTTTATTTGCCTCATCCCCAAGAATGAGAGTGCAAGGAGAACCAAGGATTTTAGACTTATTACTTACCATAATCCTTTATAAGATCACTGTAAGCTTCTGGCCCCGAATGATTTAGGAAAGTTCTCCATAGTATTCTTGGAATATCAAGGAGACTCTGTAGTACGGAAAAAAATTATGGATGAAATCCTCATTTAGAACATGAACATTGAAGATTATAGGAACCTGAAGTTGGAGGGTCTTATATTTAAGATCGATTCCAAGAAAGCGATGGTTAATAGATTGGATTTTTTTTGGGGGATGTAATGTTGTGGAAGAAAAGGCTTTGGGTAGAAATGAAGATCTTGGATGTGGAATTGCCTTCAAACCACGAACCTTCTCCATTTTGAACAATAGTAAACCTAAAGGGCGGATCTATGCCACAGAGGGGTGGAGACAAGGAAACCTCCTGTTCCCCCTTCTCTTCCTAGTAGTAGTCAATGTCCATAGCAAGATGGTGTCAATTGAAATGGATAAGAGTTGACAAGGACCCTCAGGTAGGACGAGAGAGAATTCGTCCATCCCATCTCTAATTTGCTGATGACATGATATTTAATTTCATGTTAGCAACTTTTGAGATCATTTCAGGGCTTAAAATAAACAGGGATAAGAGTTCTCTGGTAAAACTGTATGGCTTCTAAAATTGAGAGGTAGGCTTTCTTCGCGAGTTTTTAACGATCAGGATCTTCCTAGGTGAAATAGCCCTCACTGTTCTACTCCGTCTTTAGTAATTTTGTACCTCCTTTTCCTTTTCAGTTAATACAATTAGCTTGTACCCAAAAATAAAAACTAAAAACAATTGGTAACATTCAGCGTAGTCTTGTTAATTATAGTCTTGAAAAATATCGATTGTTCCATGATTCCTTTGTAACATTCAGCATTTATCAAAATAATTCTCTAGTTGGACTACTTGATTATTGAGGATTTCTATCAAGAAGCATCTTTTTTTCTCGTATAAACTCAAGGATCTCCAAGGTTCTTCAAGATTGCAAGTCCGTTAGATTATTTCTTATCTGTTGCTTCATGATTGCATTTGTGTGGTTGAAGGTGGAGGTTTTCTTTTTACTCCCAAAAAAGAATCTTTTACTTTGTTCAAAATAATTTTCATTTAGAACTTTTTTAAAAGGAGCCACCACCAGATAGAAGTTCAAAGAGGAGAATGAGCAAGATGTACTTGCACAAGAGACTCATACTTAAAAATGACAAATAAAACAACTCTAGCAGTTGTAATAAAAAAGATTTCCGTGTTTGTAATGTTGAGTGTTTTAACCGAGTGCAGGAGTGAAGGGAAGTAACCCCATTGCACTTGCACCATGAATAAGATTATTAGTCTACAATTTCCGTCTCAACTATAGATTCATTTTCTAAATTTGCGAGTAAAAAATATGGCATGCCCATCTTCATCTAATCAATTGATCATACCTCAAGTAATAGGCCTTGTATGCAGCTGAACCTTCTTTGAAGAGAATTGACAAACCATTACGAATCAAAAAAGTCCGCAACTACGAGAAAATATTAAGAGTTCAGACTAATTAATAAAATAATTTGTTAATAGCAATCACAACAGACAGTTCACCTGAACAATTCTTTTTTTAATCCGGTAACCACATTCACACAATTCTTAACCTAAACCCTACGACACGTGATACTCAGAAACTTGTTAATTTAATACCTCAGATTTCAGACCTCAGGATTCTAGATTAAATCATAAAGCTCTGTGAAGACTATACTCAACTAAAATTAGCATTAATACATCAGTAAAACAAAAGAAAAGCTCTGTGAGGATTGCACCAATGGCTAATATCTACTGAACCGAATATTATTTTCCAAAATTAGAAAAAAAAAAAGGAATCATGTTGTGAACAATAAAACTGGCCCAATGAACCTGGAAAGTACAAAAGAATAAGAACCGACAAGTACGTCCTGCCCTAGTATGAGGTAAATTATTTCCTTCTTATACTTTTACAATAACTTAAACTAGAGAAGTTGAAGAAAAATTACCTTATATGTAAGAAATTTCAGTTTTATCATCAGATTTGCATCTTCATCAGCAAATCCATCTCTTCCCACGGTCCCATTGCCTTCAGTCTCCATCAAATTGTTTTTACTTTTCACTATCTCAGCAGTCTTCTCCTTGTTTTCTTTGAATAAATTAATGTCAACAAAAAAACCTGGGAACACATGGAACTGTGAGAAAAAGTCTTTTATACAGTTTAGAAGAGAGTTGAATAGTTTGATACAGCATATTCTACTTAGTTCTTCTTCTTCTTATTATTATTCTTCGTTTTCCTTTTCTCTTAAATAAACAAATTTTTACTAAAGAGGATGAAGATATTACAATATTGAAGCTAGCTTGGAGGGTTTACAACGTGCAAATGAGGAAAGAGGAAATTAGGAAAGACTTATGACAGCTTTGTGATCTTGTACAATTCACGACATCAAAGGTTTAAAGACATGCTTGCTGTTCCTATGATGGGTGGATGAAGTTTTGTAACATCACTTTTGACATGTGAAACCACCATGTCTTTAAACCTCGGGAGCATTCGTAAAGGCTATCTTGAATGTGCCTCAAGTTCTATCAGCAGGGCGGAAAAGCTTTGAGGCCTGTGTCAGGGTTCATATGCCACCATCTCCACTCATCTGATATCAATAGAAATCCGGGAGGATTTGATTATCCTTCTATTCACTTCCTTTAATATTGTTTCTTAGATCAACACAACCTCCAGAGTTAGTTTTCTCGACTATCAATTTCTTCCCTAAATAACCAAGACCCTAGTGTTCTAAGACAACCTTCACAAAACTCTCTTCCCCACCTCCATGGACTCTACTTTTAATCCTCACATAAATAGCATCAGAAATTAAGTTAAAAACTCTTTAAACCCTTTTGAGCTTTAAACTTTTCTAACTTATATTCTTTCTCCTCCCACTGGGAAGGGCTGTAATGTAGACACCTCTCAAATATTCAATGAGAACACACCATAGAGATTCATTAAATCTGATCACTCCAACTGGTTCAATCCAGACTGGGTGTCTTACTTGTGGACCAACATTCTTTTTCAGAGAATGGAGGTGTTAAGAACTCTAGTACACACATTCTCAAGCATCCGCTTGCCACTCAATCTAAATCAACGACAAGTCCGACAATATCCTTACTAAACTCAATAAAATATTAATTAATTAGAAGTTGTTTCTTGTTCAACATCTTTACTCATCAGTTTCCTTTCATCTATTAGTGAGAAGTTGTTTCTTATCAAAAGAATTAATTAATTAGGAACAGCTAAACCTTTCAATTTTGTTTCGACTCGTCGTGAGTTATAAAATTTCAAATCTAATAGAGACCTATTACTATTAGACACAAAATTGAAACTGCAGAGATTTATTTGACATTCTTTAAAGTTCAAGAAGATGTAAGGTATAACCCTAAAAGTTCAAGTTTAGTCATCTTTATATTTCTTTCCGTTACTTAATTTCCTTTTGTCCAACACTGGGAGTCTTTTTCTTCTTGTTCTTTCTAGAAAGTTTCAACCATGAAGGAAATTTTGTTTGAGTTCAATTTTTTTTCTGCTAAACACAATATCAACTAATAAGAAACAAAACACACCAGAGTCCAACATCAGAATTATGAATCATAATCATCATGTACAAAAGTGTAAAGAGAATGCCTAAGATACTTTGAATTGAAGTAGTTGAAATAAAGATAAAGGAATTCACAGTATGAAAGGATAGCTATTACCTCGATACAATGGCCACAACCCTGGCTTGTGCCTGAAACATGTTCAACACATTTGATACCATTATAAAAACACGACAGTAGCTCAACAATACCAATAGGAACAATTATTTTGAACACTGCAAATGAAAATAGAGTGAAAGTCCCAAGCAGTACCTCATTTCTTTTTGATATCGCCGAAAAGCAGAGTCGCTTTGAACATGAATGACCATTTTATAGAAAAGGTTGTCATTTGATATGGAACCAATTTTGTGAAAGTTGTGATAGCATTTGAAGGCAGCTGGAAGACGCCTTTCTCTCATTAGACGAACCATTTCCTGGATAGATTTGGATTACTTCAAGATCAATTCATATCGAGTAAGGTGAAATGCTCATAAAGAAGAAAACTAGTATGACCAACAAAATCAATGATAAAAACAGAGGAAGGGGGAATGATGTTTCATTTGAAAATAACCAACACGTGAAACAGTGGTAGGGAAATTGGTTCTCAAATCTGGAAAAGATAAATCAATATTTGTTTTAAGAGAAAACGCAAATACAGATAAAAATTCATTGTCCTGACATGAAGTAACGATTATCTAACCTGTAATTTGGAGGTGGAAAAATCAGCTGGCTTGGCTTGTAAGAATTTTGATACAACAGATCTGTCTGCATTTCTTGAGTGGGAATCACCATACCAGTCTGAATGATCAGGGCAAAAGGCACTACCCACATTTTGAAGAAGTGCTTTTATTTGCTGCAGTTGTATTTTACAGAAGCAGAGATAAGAATAAAAAAATGATTCTTAATAGATGAAAATCATTCCATTTCTGTTCCAAAAAAATGCGCAAAACCATCATATTTCATGCCAAGGAATTTCTATTACCTGTTTTTCATCTGACCTATTTGCAGCACAAATTTCCCTCAGGCTTGGTCCCAAATCAAGTCCACCTAAACAAAACAGGGCATACAAACAAAATTAAAGGTGCCAATGGAGAAGGATTAAAAGTAAATAACGGCACCAACACCATACCTCCTTCGTTATATGGCAGAGCAGGAAATTCTTCCAATACTTTCTCCATGTGTTTTGAACTCTCGTGGCTCACCATACGAGCCACAAGACCCTCAAGAATTTCACCCTGCACTTTTATATGATCTTTTGAGCCTGCACACCAATTCCAGTTGTCAACCATTATAAACTTTTCAACTCATAACAAAGAGTGAGCAAACACTGCACGAATTATAATTTATAAACACACAAAAAAGTAAGAAAACCATAGTATAAGTTCATGGCTGCAAGTCATGGAAGAATAGAACAGACGTAAATCAAAGAGACCTATCCATTGAACAATCCATTCAATGGATAGCATACTAACTTTGACAAAGGTCTCAAAGAAAACAAAGGTCTCAAAAGAGAACAAAGGTAAAAGGGTATATAGGAATACAAATTTGAAAAGGACAGCATGCAGCTGATAAATTTACTGGCTACAAATTAAAGTTTAAACTGACAAATAAAAATACCTGGTACAGATATTTCTGCAACTTCATCAAGAGCCTTACATACTGTTGTAGCAGTTCCTTCTTCACATAGGGCATCAAAGGAAGCAAAAAAAGATGTCACTGATTTCCTTCAATGGTTAGAAAAGAAAAGGATCAGGCGCCAGAAGAGAGTTGTTTTATGTAACAAACAGTAAGTAGACACTACACGTTTAAAAAAAAAAAAAAGAAGTAAAATTCACACTATATTCAAATTAGAACATCCGAGTTTAAAACAAAAATCACTTGAGCACTCGAGACATAATCAAAACCAAAGCTGCATGAAAGTAAACAAAAGTAGAGAAGTAGCTGCATGCAAGAAACACTTGGAACCCTGGATGATATACACATCTAATAAAGCACAGCAACTGTCAAAATCTGAGAAGCATTGGACGTTGGCAAGTTCAGCAACTGTGAAGATATCATAACTTGTTTTTGGGACATAATCCCTTAATTCAAGTTTCCATGTCATGCAATATTAAAAAAACAAATTGTCTTCAAACAAAAAAAAAAAGGGATTGTCCACGAGATGCCGAAACCGACTCTGAAAAAGAAAATTGTTCATACCAAGTAAATTAAATGAAATTATGGACCATCACCTGCTTGAGAATAACCAAACATGATTGGTTGGTAAGCGCCACTTTCTACAAAAAGCTATTATTTCTGAAGTTGAATAGAACTTCGGCTTTCCGTTGCCCAGTTCGGTAACTGCTGTAACTACCACTGCACGAAATGAAAGAGTGCATTGCTTAAAGCCTAATGCAATATACTGACAGAAAAAGGTAAATATAAGTTTGATTAGAACAGCTTCATGATTGAAAATCTATAAAAAGGACGCTCAAGTAAGAATTTACTCCAGTTTCAATCAAATCAACTAAAAAACAAAGGTTCGGACAATTTCGTCCTCCCCAGAAAAGATAATTAAAAAACAAAATTTAAGGGATAAAATTCTTGAGAAAGAATTCCATCCAGTATCAAAGAGGACAGATTGATCATACAAATCTTTCCTGCGCTCCCTCTTAATTAAATAAAAAAACAATTAGTTCAAGTTGAAAGTTCTAAATTTAAGACGAAAGACTAATAAATTGAAAGTTCTAAGTTGCTATTACCATAATCCTCTCGTGGTCGCTGACCATGATCTCCCAGAACGGCAGTTACTAACTCCATTGATATGCACATACGGTTACTCTAAAAGAAGAAAGGTAGCAAGATGGTTAGAGTGCTGCAAGGAAATGTACGATGACAGAAAATATATAAACATGTTGAAGATCCTCATTGCATTTTATTTTTCATGGAAAGCCGTCCTTTGTGGAAAAAATGGAAGAAACAAAAGGACCTACAAAAAGAACCAAACATAGAACTTGTACAATATATACAAAACTGGGGCTCCAATTAACAAGAAAAAAGGCATAAAGAAGGTGCAAGGATCAAGGTTAAAAACTAATACCTCAAGGAAATCATTGAATTCTGCTTGTTTTTTGGGTGCTACAGATCCCCAAGCCTCTCGAAACATCCTTCCCAGAACAAAGACACCAACAGCAGTGTATCTGAAATGGTATTTTTATTCAGAAAAGCTTAAAAAATGTGGCGAAATAGAAATGGCAACCGTGATAAGTTCCAAAGTTATGAAGTCCAAACTTATGGCATCCTCATCATCTAATACTAAAAGCTACAAAAGAAATAATAATAATGGCAAATGATATTGTAGGAAGTGTGTGCAGAGCAGTTAACGAGCCTTATTCAAGAAAGAATACCAAAAAAAAATGAGTACCACTTCAAATTCAATTCCATACTGGCTTTATCAAAATGGATTTTAGCAAATCAGCATATCATACACCCTTCAAAAACAAATTTAAAAGAAAAGACAATTATCGGCATACATATTCCCGAAGCTGTTTTTTGCATATGCTCCACCCTGATGACCAGCGTACATAAACAAAGACCCAGAGTGTTTTAGTGAAACCTGCAGAAATTTCCAAGTTAAATAACCTAATAACAACTTATAGAATTCAGAACACATTCAATATACTATTACCATGAGAAACAGTAACCAAGCAGCATAAGAAATGAAAATTTTCACGGTAAGATACGAATTTATCATTTAGTAGGAAACAGGATCGTTCCAAAGCTAGAAGAAAACCATATTAACCCTCACAATAATGGAACCACTTTTTTTAGAACTCAAGAACACAGTGGTAAAACCTATAGAACAAATCCTGTTTAGTAAGGTCACAGTATGGACCCACTTTTGCAGTATTAAAGCATTAAAAATCACAAAATGCATTGTAACCAATACAACACCCAAAATTGAATCAACGTCCAAAACAGTTAATGTACTTTTACTTTGAAACTAAAACACTATCATTAAAGGTTTAAAAAACCAGAATAGGGACTGAATGACATTAAAAGATATGTAGTAACTCCATTATAAATGGAAGATTAAGCACCGTAAACATTATGGTACTCTTGACAAAAAATGCAGGTAAATCTTTATACCTCCAGTGTAGCCAAGCCTTTTGACACCATCTCTATCATCCTTGTTCTAATCTGACATAAAAACATACACACATTAAACATATTACCAAGAAACAAATTCTCTAATCATTGACAATGAAATAAATATCTATCTTATAAAAAATAAACAATAACATCTAATCACCTTATCAAAAATTACCCCAGAATAACCATATAAACCGTCCTTTATAAACTGTCCTTTTTTTCCATAATGGAAAATTTCATTAAATATGATGACATGATGCATGTTTCTCAAAGACAAAGGTCTAGTAGAAGCCAAAAGAAAAGTAGAAGGTTCACAAGATAATTCCCCATCCATTTATCCATACAAAAAAAAGAGAAACCATGCTCTCATTTTTCTGAAAAAAATACAAAAGGGCGAACGAGGGGTAAACTAGATAATCTATTAAAAGCAACCACGCAACTAACTATACAGAAAAGGGTTCCAACTCAATCTAATAAGACTTCGCAGGTAATTACAAGATTCCTTGGAAACTGACACCCAAACAGAAGCATTAAAAGTAGCAGTGTGCCAAAGCTTCTCCCAAGATCTCTCCACATCTCAAAACTCCGTCGTTTCTCTCAATCCAAAGGCCCCGAAGGCTGCGAAGAAACCAACCTCCCACAAAATTGAACCCTTATTGGCATATGCAAAAGGACCCCCAAGTGAATGGGAGGTTTACTTGGTCTAGTCTCAAGGAATGTAGTAGATTAGATAGGTATCTGAACCCAAACTAACACTGAAGGTCTTGGTAAAAAATTAACAAGTTCACCGCTATAAATCATAACCCAAATCCTCTTCCACACTCTTAGAGAGAGAACCAATGCAACCCCAATATACAGAATGAAAGCCTCAGAACGCAGTCCAGGGTGTTCACTCTCCCAACCTATAATTTTATACACAAGCAGTTTATTGCAAAGGATTCCCAGAAATCCATATAAAATCAATGTTCACCTTGGATGGTGGAACCAGTGGTAAGCAAAGTTTATTTGCTAATTAAAATCACCAAATAACTAAATCACCATTTTATTAATTTTTCTTATAAGCTTCGATGCAAACTCTTTTTCAACCTGATGCAGTTTCGACTTGTTGCATACACTTGGATCGTTAAGATGTTTTTAGGGGTGGTAGAAAGAGAAGGTTTTAGTAATTTCGCACGGGCAACAATATGTGTTTGATTAGAGGAACAAAAGTCTTTGATGACAGGAGTAAAGATGTTGAATATTGAACTAAATCTTACTAAAAAAGAAGAAGAAGAAGAATTGATTGGAATGGAGTTCAGACTTTTATATACCTTCCTCATGAAAACGTTAGTTCTTTAAATTTTTGGTATTCCTCTGGCCTCCTTACATACTGGAATGGAGTCCCTCTGGCCTTCTTTTCTTTTCTTTTTAATTATTAGATCTTATTGGGTTTTTTTTTTCTAAATGTAGTTAACAAGAAAATGCGGAAGTTACAACAAAACTCGGCCGATGAACCAAAGAATGCACCTAGAAAAACACATAACCAACCAAGCCAATGACATGGTGAATGGGAAAACCATCTTCGAGGTAGAATAATGACAATCTAACAAACGAGCTAAATATACATAATTAAGTGTAATAAAGAAAAACCAGAGTCCCAAGTGTAACTTGAAAAAGAAATACCTCCTGATCCGACTTCTCGTTCTCAAATTTAGGGTAGAATGTAGCTCTTATCTGTGCCTGTGTGTATGCCGAATTATCCACAGTAAACTGTTCAATCTGATTGCCCTTAAGTAATTGACTCAAGGCAATGGCGCTGCTATTTGCAGCAATTTCAGCATTACTCCCCTTGTTTTCAATAGATGTTCCAACGGCAGGTGCCTTTTCACCTTCAACCACTGCAGCCCCACTGGTTGTTCCATAAGCTTTTGGTTTCCAAATTGCTCTATGACCAAGCCCAGGGGTGGCCAGGTTTGTAGGCTGGGCATTTCCAAACTGCACACTTGTAATAGGAATATGCGGTTGATTACTCTCAGTAACCCTCAAATTACTGAGTGCATTAGTTACAACTTCAGAAGCAGTTTCTGACTCTGTAGAAATTCCTTCAACCTTTGCCTTCTCTTTCCACTTCTGCTCTCTACGACCACCCCTTCGCTGCAAATCAAGATCAAACTTAACAACGACAATCCAAACATAAAATTCTAATTCCATGTTACCGATTGCTTGAGACAAAGAAATAATCTAAGTGTTTCAGATATGGCAAAGCGTATAAACAGAACAAAACAAAGGAAAAAACTACCAATTAGCACAGATGAATCCCTTTACGTGCGGCATTGTAATACTAATCATCATAAATTCCATTAAAACCATTAAAGGTTGGAAAAGATAACAAATAACAAATTCTCAGTACCCAATACAAAACAGATTGTCTAATTCAAAACGAGATAATCGTGATTACCAAAAAAAACTATCAACAAAAACAAACAGAGATACCCAGATACACAAATCGAGATAATGAATTCATCACATTCCAACGAACACAATTCAGAAATGGTACCTGATTGTAAGGCATCGTGAATCGAGAATCACGACAAACCGTAAAGGGGAAGACAGAGGCTGGGAGAGTAAGAGAAGGATGTAAAATAAAGTGGGAAAGAGAGCAGGAAACGAAGGGGAAGGCCCTAGAATGTAAGGCTGGAGAGGAAGAGAGAGGAAGAGTTATAGCACAAAAAATCCTATACGTCGCCGACATTCAAAGTGCAAATGGCTCTGCAACTGATCAATATATGAATATGGTTATAGAGGGAGAAAGACTAAGAGGGACAGGCGAATTCTGAGAGAAGGTAGCTAGTCCACACTTCCTTGCGCTAAACCATAGCGTAGATGAGAAAGCCTAAACCATAGTGGAGATGAGAAGAGCAGTTTGATTGTATATATTGAATATTATATTTAATATAAAGTTAATTCAATATATTATGAGTTTGATTGTATATATTAAAAATTATATTTAATATAAAGTTAATTTAATATATTATATATAACTCCAAATTTTCAAAAAAAAATATATATATATTATGAAAATTAGGAATATTAACTCGATAATAAAAAAAAATTAATTTCCCATATTTTTTTTAGATTTAGTTAGTTCATTCTCCCCAAAATTAGATTTTATAGATTTAGTTAGTTACAATTTTTTTAACAAACCTTTTACTTTTATTAAAATTAAAACTTAATTTTGTTAAATCGTAAATTATCGTTCCGTAAAAAAAAAAAAAAAAAAATCTCAACCAATCAACTACATTAAAACACTCCAAATCAAATACATCATTTGAATTAAAACGGTGAACACTTCAAATCAAAATATTATACACGGGAACATTCCAAATCAAAATATTATACATTCAAATACATTATTTTAATTAAGACGTGTGAACGCTCCAAATCCAAATATTATACATTATTTGAATCAAGACAGGTAAACAGTTCAAATCAAAATATAATACATTATTTGAATTAAGACGGGTGAATCCTTTACATGCGTATAAAAAAAGACTGCCCATTAACATAGATGAATCTCTTTACACGCTAGCATTCTAATAACACTAATCATCATAAATTCTACTAAAACCATCCAACGTCCCAAAAAATAATAAATAACAAATTCTCAATACCAACACAAAACAAAATAGATTGTCGAATTCAAAACAAGACGATCATGAACACCTAAGCATCAACAAAAATAAACAGAGATACCCAGATACAAAAATCTAGAGATGAATTCATCAAATTCCAGTGGTGAACAAAATTCATCAAAGAAATGAGTATTGTAAGGTGAATCGAGAATCACAAGAAACGGAAACGGGAATCAAGAATTACAAGAAATAAGAAAAGAGGAGGTTGACAGAAACAAGAAAAGGGAAGGCAATTGAGTTTGCGAGTAAGCGAACAACAAATTCTCAATACCAACACAAAACAAAATAGATTGTCGAATTCAAAACAAGATGATCATGAACACCTAAGTATCAACAAAAATAAACAGAGATACCCAGATACAAAAATCTAGAGATAATTCATCAAATTCCAATGGTGAACAAAATTCATCAAAGAAATGAGTATTGTAAGGCGAATCGAGAATCACAAGAAACGGAAACGGGAATCAAGAATTACAAGAAATAAGGAAAGAGGAGGTTGACAGAAACAAGAAAAGGGAAGGCAATTGAGTCTGCGAGTAAGCGAACGAGGTAAAATAGAGTAGGAAAGAGGGTAGAAATGAAGGGGAAGGCCCAGATTGGAGGGCGAAGGGAAGACAAACTAGGGCGATGTAGAGATAGCACATAAAATCCTGGACATTAAGTGCGAAAGGCCTCAAGTGATCAACAATGTGGTTACAGGAAGAAAGACTAAGAGAGGCACGTGAATTCTGAATTCGAAAAGGTAGCGAACAGTCCACACGTCCTGCGCGTTAAACCATGGTGTAATGAGAAACCGAGCAGTTTGATTGTATATACTGTACTGAATATTATATTTAATATAAAGTTAATTCAATATATGATATACATATAGCTTCAAATTTTCAAAAAAAAAAAGAAAGAAAATTATAAATATTAGAAAAAAACTAAATAATAATAATAATAATAATCAATCTCGTTAGGTTAGGTTAGGTTAGTTTCAAATAATTTTTTTTTTTAGATTTAATTGGATAATTGATTCTCTGATTTTATAGATTTTGTGTTCATATATTTTTTATTACAAACATTTTATTTTATTAAAATCAAAAATTAATTTTGGCTAACCGTTAAAAAAAATAAGAGTCTCCACCACACTACCAAACACTCCAACCTCCAAATTAAAATATTATACATTATTTAAATTAAGATTTGATGAATTTAAATTAAAATATTATACTTTGAATTAAGGTGAAAAATTCGAATAGAGTTGCGAATATATAAAAATTTAAAAATAATATCTAAACATTAACCTCAGAAAATACGGTGAAATTAAGTAATTAAGTTGATTACAGGTAAAAAAAATATAATTAATTTGTTTGGAAATAAAGAATATAACTAATTAGTTTGGAAATAAAGAAATTTTGGAAAGAATTATTTTTAAATAAAAATATAATTGGATAACAGGTACTACAAATAAAATAAAATTATTAATTTTACTTTTCCCTCTTCTACCCCTATCCAATTTTATATGAAATTTTGTAAAAATATAAAATCTCTCTCCATAACTAATTTAGATAAAATATAAAATATCTTTTTAATATGGTGACCTAATTTTATAACCGTAGTACATAGATGAAAACAAGATTGTAAATAACATTAATCCCACCAACATTATCTTACTCAATAAAATATAAATTTTGTATCGAAAAAAATATAAGATAAAATATATTACGATTATCTCTCAATAATAAAATATAAATTTTGTATCGAACAAAATATTAGATAAAATATATTTTAAAATAAAAATATCTCTCAATTGATATGGTAATCTAATTTTAAAACGATACTAAAACATTTGGATGAAAAACAAGAATATAAATTCGAAAGTAAGTTTGAGTGTTTGAATGAAAATACCTCTAAAAAAATATTAAGTTTGAGTGTTTGAATGAAAAAAAAAGAAGGTAAGTTGCTAAAAGAAAGCTTTAGAAATGCATACAAATACTTTACAAATGCATCACATACCATAAATCGTCTTCAAAGGTAATCATTCTAGAATAAATGAAACTTAATTACGAATTACTTGAGTTTTCACAACATTTTCAATACGTCTTGAAATTCAAGACGTCTTGATTTATAAATAATAATAATAATGAATTTGTTAATTAAAAAAAAAGAAAGTAAATAGAGATCGAACGATTTTGTTCAGAGACAAAAAAAAAAAAAAAAAAAAAAAATAAA